GTTGGCAATAGCCCATTACTCTACCCCTAGGATCTCCAGCGATCAGCCACGCCAGCGTGGACCACGAGTGTTGTTCTTTGAGAACTCACAGAGCACAGGGAAGAGCCCAAGAGAGCAGTGGGACAAGCAGAAGGAATTTAAAAGGAAGCAGGGGCCTGACAGTCAACCCAATCCTGGAAAACAGCAAGGATAATTTTTATAAAATCCTGTTTGGTAACGCATATGGAAAAGCAACCCAGAAACAGCCAGCCAAGGGGGCTTGTCAGGGACAAAGTGCCATACCCTACTACCATCCACCTTCTCCTTGGTGCAAACTGGCCGGGTGGCCACAAGGATCCCAAGTCTCCCGGTTGCTGTAAAGGCCTTTGACGCTGTCATTCTGTGAAGGTGAAACAGGGGGCTCCACTCCATCCTGACCATAAGGAGAACCACAGCAGTACAAAATGCCGGCAAAGAGCCGCTACCAAAGCCTTACTGGGAGCCTGGGGGGATACTCAAGCAGGGTCCTGCAAGGCTTTGCCTGGGATCTATCCCATTCGGTGTGTTCATGAACAACTCAAGACTATACAGTGGAAGGGGACATCCCCAAGACACCATACTTGGATGAACTGCGTAGGAGACAGGCCCAGAGCACCCACTTCTTTGTAAATTTGGTCTGAGATCCATTAGAGACAGGTGTGCAGTCACTAGGCACAGAACAGGGGTTATCAGGCTGGACGGTAGCGGTACCGAAACAGATCTGGGATGTTCACAGAGCAGGAACAGGACGCACGTCAATGTGATGCTGTTGCAAGAAGACAAGTGTTGTTCCAGTGTGTGTTAACGGTAGGAGCGTATGCAAGGGCCAGAAGTTTGTTGTTCCAGCGGCCCTGCACTAGCCTCAGCCAACACTCCGGGTGGCATGTTGAACCACACAATTTCAGAGCACAGTCAGGCTCTCGAGGACCCAGACAAGAACACCAACAATCGCTAGACTCAGAAGACGTGGCCCACGAAGAGTGATTCAGTTAACGGGGTTTACTTAAAGGAGGAGACTAGAAGAATACGATAGTAACAGTCAAACGACGGCACTATTCATCACATCTACTGCCAATTAAGAACAATAAGTAATTGACTTAATTTGCAGGGATAAAATCCTGCTGTGGTAACTCTCCCACTGCAGTACGGGCTGCGTACAAGGTCACCGGATCCCGTTCCTCGGAAGCATTCAAGAACAAGTCAAACACGGTCTTGGCAGATTTGATCCAATCACAGAGGAAGGAGATGGACTAGACCGCTTTTTCAGATTTCCCTTAGTCCTTGCGCCACTGAAAGGTCTCCAGAATTTAGGGATGTTTTGCACACCGTTTGTAACAGCTACGAGCTGGGTAGTCACAAATACGCTTACCACGCTATCGAAGTGCTGTATGGAGCTTAACTTTATATACTTAATGGACAGCATTTTTCAGAGGAAAGCTCTGCCGTATTTCCTGAAAAACTTGAGACATTATTTGAGCAGATTCCTGGTGGATAACAGTGTTGGGACAACTACAGATTCCTCCTTTCCCAGAAAGCCTAGTGCTGCAAGCCATACAGGAGAATTGCAAAGCATACGCCCAACCCATTCCACCTTTTTTGGAAAGCTACCAAGGTAACAACCCCCTCAGCAAGCCTCTATTGTGCCTTATCTATAAAAAACCTGTAACACAACAGACAGTGCATTAAACAATTCAAAATAATTCTCAAAACAGACAGCAAAGTATCGCAGACAGAACCCCACACCCTCCTGTTGTCGGGAGTAGCGCACCATCGCTGCCGATGGTACAGAATACGGCAATCGCACACGGAGTACCAGTCCAAAGCCTTGGAACCAGATTCCAAGTCCACTGTAAAACCTGCGAGGTTCTGAACAGGTAAATCAAAGGCCCCAAACTGACACGCAGCGGAACGGGGCTGAGCGGACAGAAATTCAAGCTGACCTTTACTCTGTTTAAGGATCCAGCAGGACTGATGGAGTTGGGAAGACCAGGCTTCCAGTAAAGCCAAATACTGCCCAACTTGTTTCTGAGAAAAGGGGGAACCACACAGATCTCACGCCCACCAGTATTCGATGATACACGGCATTCCATCTATCAGCTCTTCTTACCAAGCAGTGCAGTTTGCAGAAACCCCACAATTCCTTCGTTACTGTGCGGTTTGCAAACAGCCCGCGGTCATTAGCTTCACTCCAGCTGAAGGGTTCCCAGCTCAACAGCAAATAACCCAAAGGGGTAGTTTCCAGGGACACTTTGAGCAACCTGGTCTAGTGGAAGGTGTCCCTGCCCATGGCAGGGGGGTTGGAACTAGATGGTCTTTAAGGTCCCTTCCAACCCTAATCATTCTATGATTCTATGATTCAAGATCACTGCATAAAGCCGACGACTTCCTTACGTCTACGCAGCAACTGTCTTCAACTTCTACCTCGGACTTTTCCCACAGGTGCTGACAGCAGGAAACCAGGAATGCTTAGATAGGTGCAGCAGCCACCCCAAGTAGGGCCAAGCAACTGCCGTAGCTTACTCATCAGTCCCCAAGCTGGCCTCATCGTGATCACCCGTGCTAACTTTTACTCCGGGATCTAAAGCGAGACCTTTTCCAGAACACACTAAGCTTTGCTTAAAACACTGTTTCAGATGCCATGTAAAGAGGGGTGGGCTCCTGACAACCCAAAAATCACTTTTTAAAGTTGCTCCACAGGTATCCACGACAGCGGATGCCCACGCTGACAGCACAAGCACCCTCTACCTCAATGCCGGCCCTGCACAAACCTTCCTCAAGCGAACAGGGGAAACTTTCCATGCCTATTTTTCTTCCTTGTAAAGTTAGACAGCTTCAAGTTTCCAGGACTGTCCACAGCCAGGAAATGAATTTTCTAAGTGCAGTAATATTTGTTTTTAAAAGCAGGCAGGAAATAGGACATTTTACATGTTAGTTTTTTAATTCTCTTTAATCAGACACATTACAATGCACAACTGTGTCTTTAGCCAGGTAACAGGGTGCCATCCTTGATCAGAAAGAGGTGATGGGGAACGCCTAGTCCTTCCTCTGACCTTCCAGGAACAAAGAGCCTTGCAGGCACTCTAAATGAGGGCGATTCCCACACCTAGTATAGCATTCCCCCTGTACTTATAGCCTTCGTAACAATTCAGTCACAGCTTTCATTAGGTTCTGTAATTGAGATCGCAGCTACTGCAGCCAGGGATCTTGTTAACTGAGGATCACCCTTGCCTTCTAATACAAGAAAACCCATCATTTCATAGGGCATTTGCAACTTGAGCATCACAGAGTTTTGAAAATACGATTCTAACTGAAGTTAACCGTCCCACTAGTGACGCAGCTTCCCAGCTCTTCGGTGCTCATTAAAAGAGATTGTTTACGAAACAAAATCTTTTTATTTAATGCTACACAGTCTGAAGGAATAGGACATATACTTCACCTCAGCACCAACAGGGCTACATCCCAGAACGTTTTCCAAAGCAAAACCAGATTACCACTCAGCGCCAGAAACACCTTTATCCATTTGCACTCGGCGTATTTGCAGACAAACTACAGCATGAGAACGTTTCAGTACTTCTCCCCCACACAGCACAGAGGTTGAGGGCAGATGTCTTGCCTCGCAGGAGCCAGTCTGCCAGGACAGACGTATTGAGAACATTTCAGAAAAAAATAAATGAAGCGTTACATTCTGATGTCAGGTGTACAAGTGCAGCAGTGGATTACTCTCGGAGGAGAACAACATTACCTATAAAAGTGGTGTACAGGTTATCCTGGAGTGACTATCATACAGAGGAATTTTCTGCCCAAGGAAGTATTTACAGAGATACTGTCACAGCAAAGAGGACAGGAAGCTAGTCTCACAGAAGTAGTTCAATAGAGAGCAAATGAGGGGACGAAGACAAAGGCTTTGACTTTATATAATAAAATACCAAGTGCATTCTTTCAAGTGAATGAGTCTTTGAGACTACGGTCCTAGCTTTTAGGAAGCCATTTGAAGGTCAGACATACAGTCCTGCTGCGTAACAAGGGTGAACCTGGACTGCCACAACTTCTACACCCCTTGTAACCTCAGTCAATCACAGCAACTCCAGTATTGCTTCTTACGGCGAGGTCAGAAGTAAAGCTCTTGAGCAAGCCCCCCGCGAATGCCAAAGGTGGGATTTTGTACAGCAGACCTGGCACATCTCACCGCTCTGGGAGCCCTGCGCACGTTAAGGGTAGTCACGTTTAGCTGCTCAAATGGTCTTGGCCGGAATCATTATTCAGCTTTTTCTTGTCAGTGCAACCTCAATCGCATCCGATTTCTTAAAGCAGCCACATTACGTTAGTTTGGCTCTTTTCCAACAGGCTTATTTTAAGCTGGTTGGGAAGAAAGGTTATTGGTGGCCAGCTGTTCCGCACACTTTGAAACAACCAGTTTGAGGGGGAACGCATGTGGCCGACTGCTCAAAACATCACTAAAAAACTTTTCAAATTAACTTCTCAGCGAAGAGAATTGCTTTAACCTAACATTTGCGAGCACTTTTCAAGCCAGCAGACCCCAAAGCATTCAATCCTGCCACCGCTTCCTCAGCCACCTACCAAACAAGCATAACCAGAGCCTCTCCGGCGCGCGGCTCCGAGGAACGTGGTCCCTCACAGGAAAGGAATCCCATTTAAAATGGCTTGCAGTGGTACAGACTCCCACAGATGGGATGTAAAAAGGTAGACGGAAGCCTCCCGATTCTCACGCAGCTTCTAGAGAGTCTGCCGAGCCCGGAGCCAAGAACCTGACCGCTAGCGCCTGGGCTCAAGCGGGCAGCGCGCCGAAGAGTAAATCTGAGCAGCTTCCCTTTCCACTTCAGATCAATTTACTGTAATGTACATTACTTCCAGTGGAACGACACTGCTCGTGTTTTGGCAGGATAGGGAAAATTCCACTTTGTCTCTTTTATTATTTTATAAGGCAGATAATGCAGAAAGTTTAAACAGAACTTCTAGAAGGATTTAATCTGTGATATTGTAAAATCAAAGTACTACTTTATTAAATGAGTTATTTTACACAATATGAACATCAATATAATTACAATTGTAAAAAAATTTTTTTTTCTTTTATAACAAGTATGGACTGATTTTTCAGGATTTCCAAATAGGGCACAACTGTACATTTACACAGAATTGTCTTTGCATGAAGCCCAAGAGGGAACAGCATAAAAATATGAATGTTTCTGTAGCCCCTTCATTTTTGCTGATCAACAGTTTTAGAAAAGCAGCTGCAGGTTTGTTATGTAAGGTCTGACAGTAGAAGAGTCAATAGGTGCCATGATTTCACCTATAAAAAACAGAAATACCTCCGTTAAGCTGAACCGGTAGACAATGCCGTTTAACTCTGCATGAACGAAATACCATAACACTGCTTTTTACCTCATTTCAGCCTTTTATTGTAACCACTTTCAGTTACAGCCTAACAACTGGCTATTGGGAAATCTCTTCTATAGTTAACACAGAGGTTAAGTTTTATATCTGAACACAGAAAAATCTGCATTCGCTTGCATAGCTCCAGGAACAAAAAGGCTCAGTTGTGGGCAATACACTGAACAACTATTGCCATCACAAGCTTTGTAGCAGCAGACAGACCATATTCAGTACGTGCCTTTTTTCCAAGCAAAACTAACATTTCAAAGCAAGAACTAAGCAACAAAGTATTCCCACAACTCCAAGGATGACCATTTGAAATAGCATTAATCCCTTTTAAAACAACCTCCACACACAGTCAAACACCACAGCCAGTTCACCTCTGTATTCGCTTGCTTCTCCTGCGTTACAGTTCAGGGGTATACCTTCAACCTATAGGTAGTGTTCATATTAAAGGAAATGAAGCAAGTTTTAAGTCCCAGCTGGCAGTGGTAAAAAAACCAACTTGATTCTTAACACACCTTGCTCAGACAATCATTTAAAAAATTAAGGTAATGACCTGTAGACAACTTTATGCCTGAACATCAGCCAGTTCTGGAGGAAGTGGAGTCTTAGGATGCTTGCTTTCAAAGTGCTGTTTGAAGGTCTTGGGATCCGGCATTTGTGTCTGATTAAAGAGAGACATTTAACTTTATGCACAGTACAAGAGTTAATTAATACTACAAAACCTGTTCCCCCCTCTATTTTATTTGATTTTCCCCAAAGCAAACTCAATGACACTGCTCTAGTGACAGAAGCACCGTGAGTTTAGCTGCAGATTGAGAGAGAGTATTTAACTTCAGATTTTCAGAGGTGTTTTTAGCACTAGTACCACACTGTTTTGGCATGTTCATCAACGGTATTATTCTTGCTAGAAATCTCCCTGAAGGTCTTACATGCTGGTTCGGTGGAAAACCTACCTCCTTACCGTTTTCAACACCTAAAAGATACACGTTTATCCTTTTCAGAATCAAGTCTTGATGAAAGACATTTCTTTTGTTGATCAACAGGCCAAAGAGTCATGTGCCATAGGAACCCATCCCAGCCAATTGCTATTACACAGCTGCAGGCATCAACTGCCCAACGTGCTTGCTGCTACAGCCTGATTTCACAAGAGGAGGAGCTGCTTACAGGTACCTAAGTGTGCAGCCCTCAATTTGGCATCTTATTTAAGACACTCAAAGTGACAAATCTATTCTGGGACTGACCATTTAAGTGAAAATGGCAAGTTTATCCTTCAGCTCCAAAATGAGCACATTCAGGAAAACCAGCCAGAAGGAAAGTATAATCAGATTAGCACTCTCAGTCCTGTCTTCTTGTCAAGTAATTTATACTGGTAGAAGTTACTGTGTATCAAGCTTACACTAAAGCTTTTGGCACCACCACATTCCCTCTCTACACTAACCTTAATAAGCAGTGATTCCGAGCTGGGCCAATTCCATCCCAAGGAAAAGATGCTTCCATTTGGAGATCAAGCAGGAAGTGCTCTCACACTTTTTACATGTTACATGTCATACTAATGGCACATGCAGACCCCCTGCCATTCAGAAGGCAAGATAACCTCCCAAAGCGTATCTCTGCATGACCTCCCAGGTTTTCTCGTATCTCAACCATCAGCACAGCTGAGTCATCTGTAAGCAAATCGTGTAACAGATGCAAATGCTTATAGCAACAAGCTAGACAGATGCTTAGAAGTATTTTGTAGTTTCCACTACATAATCTAAAAATCCTGCTCTAGGCTGGAAGACAGATCTGCCTACAATAATATTTTGTCTTCAGTTCCTCTTACCCTACAGACAGTGCAGGTATATATCAAGGCAGCCTTGGCTGCAGCCTTCTGATCATGTCCTTGTTTCTTTTTCTGCTCAGCTTGCTTTTTGGCATTTTTCTGCTGCGACTGAATCTTCTGCTGTCCACGAGCCATATCTACAAACAAAAAGAAGACATTTAGTCTACGTATGTGAGAAACTACTGCTGCTGGCTGACTCGGACACCGTAACCATGAGCATAAAAAGCAGTCATGCGCTCTGTCCGTACAGCTCCCCTAACTCAGACACAAAAGACATCTGTTCAAGCTCCTCACTATGTGAAGACCCTCTGGTTTCAGTATCGTTCTTAAAATACAAACCAGAATTATGAGGCCATCCTAAGGTTTCTTCCTCTACCAAGCTTAAGGTCTACTTTTGAAAAGTATTTTCAATAGTCAGAATAATTGAAGTTTCCTTTACCAGTAATAGAAACTTATTCTCTATTTCCACAGGTACTGTAACATTTAGGGTTTTTGTTTTTTATTAAAGCTTAAGACTCAACCTTTATTTCTGGAACTTGAAACAGGTTCCAAGAAAGGCAAATCAAAGTATTACCCAAACTGTATTACTGTCTTCTGGTGTATGTGCTTGTGAGCATCTTTGGAGTTGGGAATACCATCTTCAAGGCCAGGCTGGATGAGGCTTTGAGCAACCTGGTCTAGTGGAAGGTGTCCCTGCCCATGGCAGGGGGGTTGGAACTAGATGGTCTTTAAGGTCCCTCCCAACCCAAACCATTCTATGATTCTATAACAGGTCACCTCTCTTTATTCAAGGCCATTTTCACAGGTGGCCATTCTGTTTTTATTTTCAGCTGACTTCACACACATACATACATACTTCTTAGAAAGAAGTAAAACTGCCTCCATCAGAAGCCTCTGTGTAACACAGGAGGGTAAAAAAGCAAACACTATTGCCATACATCGTCAGAAGATCCACCACGAGAAGAAACGAGATACAAAAATCCCATTTCAGGGAGCAGCAACCCAGCGGGTTTTACAGCAGCGACGCTCCACCTGCGTGCAGCCCACTAGGACACCCAATTCAGCTCGCACCCCACCCCCAGAGCAGACGCCAGGCAGGATTTGGGCGCACTGACAGAGCAGGCTGCAGAGCGTGGTTATACAACCCAGCATCCCACTTCCCGCTATTATCTTTCTCACAGTCCCTCCTGGCCCATGCACAACCCAGTCGCGCGGCTCCCGCAGAAGCACAAGGCTTACTACAGAAGCACAGGACAGCTAGCTGCAGTCCATCATTTTTGGGACTAAGGAAGCTGAAGATTCCCAGGAGGTTGGCTGGCTGGTCGTTGCCCCTCTATGCAACCTGGGCGTTTGCTCTAAGTCTGGTACTCAGGAGACACACTGCGTGGCTACAACAGTCTTTCCCATACAGGCGGACGGCCTTCCACTGAAAGAGGAATGACTGACCTCCACTAAATACGCGTGGAAAGCCCTTAAGAAAATGAAGTTTTATGAAACATCAACTACATCTGGAAATTCACTAGTACTGCAAGAATTTCTGGATGTGTAGCATCACAGTGCTTAACACTCAGCAAAAAGATGGTCCCGGGACCCAAAACAGCTCTTGCAGATTGAGAGGCACCTCTCATGCCACAGTCCGGTTCTTCCAGGGTATGTAACACCACCAATAACCCCCCGCAGGAGTATTACACTGCATCCCCAGTGTTCCCTCCTCTTCCCCCATCAGCTTCTCTAGAGAAGAATTTCTAAGCCCATATGGCTAACAAAACTGAATGCAAGAACACACAAATTCTATTAACAGGCCTATAGAAATACATGTGGCATTCAACAGTTTCCATAAGATACAGCACTGAACGTTAGTAAGACTGAAAATACCAGTCTACGTTTCACTGTATGCTGCAGTTACTCCAAAACAACCCAGCCAGGGCCTCACGCTGTTTATGTACAGCATGGCTCAACGAGAATGCTGAATTCCCATGAACACCAGAAAAAAAAAGAGTAGAAGAGATATTGCTAATGGCTTTGTACACACTTGAAGGAACTGAGGTTTTATTTTGATTTTACCAGTGTTACAGTAAACCTCCAGAAGGCAGAGGGCTCCTGGCAGAAAAAACACCCATAAACCCCAATTATTTTCATACAATGTTGGCATATTATGTTGTATTTTAGTCCCTCGATAAGAGCTTGTTAAGTGGTCCAACCACACTGAGCTGGTATGTATTTGGCAATCACTGGTTTTAGTTAAAACGCAAACAAACATGAACAAAACTATCTGCTTAAAAGTATCAACCTCCACACGATGCCCTAAACCAAAAATCTGAAAGTTTAAATACTGAAAATTACACTAATACAGTTGAAACACACAGACTGAATACTCAATTACTGGAAAATTAAGATTATTTGGACTATCAGTACCCTAAGAAAGCAACAAAAATAATCCCAAAGTTCCTTTAGAAGAATGATGAGTCCACCTACAAGGGTAACTCTGTATTTCAGTTGCACAACACAGGTAAGTGTTGTTTTCCTTATCGGGCACACCCTCAAGAGTCCAGCAAACCGTCCCGCTGATCTGAAGTAAAAACGCATGAGCACGTAGGAAGCCTTTCACCACGGAAAAATTTGCTGCCGAATCATAACAGCAACGGCACAGGCATTACAGGGCAGCGAGGCTGGAGCCTGCAGCACGTTGGTGCCCCACACAGAGCCACTTCCTTTTAAGTAACCAGAACCCGAGCAGAGTTTCGAGCCCTAAAACTGGATACCGACAGCTGCTTCCGCTGTCACTTGCAGAAACAAACAGCGGCTGGAGGTACTCTGGCGTCCCCGGCCCGGCGGCGGAGGGCTCAGGCCATGGAGCCGCACGCCCGACCGTCGCCCTGAACGGCCGCGAGAAAAGGCTGGGCCCGGCCAGAGGCGCGAGAGGGCAGAGAGAGG